AAGTTATGTGCATTAGGCTACGCATGGGACCGATAAAAAATGAACATGCTCGTGTTCCATGTGCGTGTGGCCACACTTTACATGTACGGACTCCGTTTCACTCCTGAGAGGTCCCATAGTCCACTGTGCAGAATTTTGTTTGTAGTCCATCTTGACTCCATTACCATATCCATTGTTAAATTATGAGCACTCAAAGGGATGTTCAACAACATGGTTGGTTTTGTTGTCAAATGCCCCCAACTTTATGAGGAAAGGGGAAGGAATAATTCTTAAGGTTCTGTTTGGGAAGAGTATAAATACAAATATATTCAATACAAAACCTTGTATCGGCTGGTTCATAATTATATTTCTAATCCTTGTACTTGCACCCTTTCCAAATGGAGCCTAAATTAATGATCCAATTGGAGATAATCAGAAGGGGGAAAATGTGGAATTTTCTTGAGACCCGCATCTGTAAATTATTGTTTTTGTGTGTGTGGGGTAGGGGATAAAAACTCGTATTAGATGTATATGAGATTGGATTTAGTCTTTACATCGTCCTCCTAACATTTACAGCCCTGCATTTGGAAACATCTCCGTATTTGTATGTTTTTATTCGTAGGAAAATGTTCCTAATGCACCGTTGTGAAGTGCTGTGAGGACATTTTTGCAAGGATGAAATTCGGATTCGTTCTATGTAGGCCGACCAGAGCCAAAAGAAAAACGGGAGACCCACACGCTTCTCCATCTCCATTAATTAAGTGGGTTCTGGCTGGTAGTAATAAAATCATCAGCTTTGGATGAATTTGTACCACCCTGAAGGCCCTGAACAATCTGAACCTGACTGGGTCAGCAATCTGGTTGGGATAAGTCAAGTAATACCCGAAAGTGCAGATGCAACCTCCCGCTCAGGTCAAGAATTGTCATCTTCACTTCTGCTTAAAACAAAAGTTCCATGTGATAAGGAGGTAGTTGTGCTGATGTTGCTTTTATGATTAAGCAATATTTTGGTTTATTCACAGGTGTACACCGTCATTCGTACATATATACATATATACATATATATTATTATATTCGTATCAATGACTTGACCTTTGCGATATAGATGCAGAGAATTGGAAACCTGAGATAGGCCATGGAGGGCCAGCAGAGGACTTGGAGCCTTTGCTTGCAGTTGGCCAGTTGCATTCCCCACCCTCTAACAATAAAGTGGATCTACATCAATCGGTCTCAACTCTCAACACATGTAAAGAAGCTTCCAGGCACCACCTAAGAAGAAAGGGTGAAAAAAAATTGTCTAACCAGTCAATCAATATGGTGGTGGATGCCACATCAGATTTAGGTGAGGATTAGATTGGTGTAACACAACTCTGGTGGGCCATGCGAGCTATATGGGGCGGAGGCAGGTCAGGAGCCCATCTGACCTGCCGGTTAGAATTCGGATTTGCTCCTCACAAAAGGCATCTTATAACATATTGCAGCCGTGCATTGGGACTATTTCTCTATAAATGATAACTTATAAGTATAAAGATGTTTAAATGTACAGTTCCAAACATTGTAAAGTTGGTGTGAGGCGTGCTCCGCGATGAAAAAATCTGGATTCAGCCAGGCTGACCCTAACTCTGTAGTCTGTCCCACATATTATTACCGTGTGAGAAGCCTTATTCTTCCAAGTTCCACTGCTTAATATGAGATGGAAAGAGAAATTTGTGAGCAGGAATCTAGTGGGTAGAAGGTAGGTGAGAAAAACTAGTACTGAGATTTGTCTCTCCAGTATCCGCTTTGGGTTTCCTGTTCCTCTGTGTGCTACCATTGTCATTGCGTCCATTAACCATGACTTTTCACTTCCACCTCTCTGTTGACAATAATGAGAAACCAATAAAAAAAAAAGAGAGAGAGAAAGAAGATAAAACAAAGAAGAAATTTATTTTTGTTAAAGCCATTTTCTTGACAAGAAAAAGCACATAAAATATTAAAAATGCAGCAGTTAGTGATCAACCCTATTCATCTAACTTCAATCATCATCATCATCCAAGCCTTATCCTGACTATACCAATTATACGGATCGGTTATATGAATCCATTTTTGACATTTTATTCTATTTAAAGTTATTTTCATTATCAAATTATTAGCGCTTAAATCATATCTTACTATTTGAGCTCGTGTCATTTCTGGTCTGTCCATGCTCAAACTTGCAATAGATCACTTTCTTATAGATGTTATCAAAGGTTTTATACACATTTCTTATAGGTGTTTCATCCTTTCTAGTTTTTTCGCTCATCCATCTCGTTATACACATTTATGTAACGCTCATTTTTTAGACATATTATTATTTTTCCATTCATCTATTTTCAATCACAACTTGAATTTAATTTTCTTGCATTTTTTTCAGATAGTTTTACAAAAAAAAAGTGTCTTTACTATTAAAAAAAAAACTAAGAATTAAAATCGAGAAAATCCTGCTGGGGTCCTCTCCTATTCCCTGGACCAACCAAAGATATTCAGAACTTGAGGTTGTTGGCTTATCTTGTCAAATAACCTCAAGGAAATATTAATGGAGTCCCAATATTATTTTAATATTTTGATCACTTGGCTAGGGGTATGGGCGCCCATAATTTTGACAAGGCGCACCTCTTTAGCCATTGATGCCCAACTCTACCAAAAAGTAGATTGTCAATTAATCCATGCATTCACAAAACCACCAAGCACGCCCAGAAGGCCAGAATCATTTCGTTTCTCCTTTTCATTTTTTTTTTCTTCTTTTCTACACATACTCAGTCCCATTCCCACATGATAACTCACGTGTATTTTATAAAATATTAATTACTGGATTATGGTGGTTTATATCTGCGAATTTTCCTTTTGGTTGTTGACGTGCATGGCGCTAGCATTGCTTTCAAATGCAATCGGTTTGGGAGGTTCCCTATGTCATAGAGTCTTTTAGGCTGCGTTTGGTTGCAGATTTGTAGTGCAATTTTATTTGTATTAATACAAATGCATTTTGTTTTGGGTTTTACTATATTCTGCTTCATGTCTTAATTTATTTTATTTGTATTAAAATCAAACAAAATAAGCTAAATTTTGAAACAGAAATAGGTCAGAATTTACACTCAAATTATTTGCACTGTCATGGTTTTGCAACCAAACACTGAATTAGGTTCAAAGGGTGACAGCCCAGGTTGTTAATTGAGGTATAGCCATTTTTTTTTCACATAAAATGGATAAAGAAATTTTAGCATGAAATATTTGAATTTTATTTTATTTTATTTTTGTCTATTTTACAATGAAAACTAGGTTCTTGACATCTTGTCCCTTGTTGGTTAAAAATAATCCAATGAAAACTAGTTTTTTTAGTGCTTGGTTGCTCATAACCAACAGACAAACATAATATCAAATGTATTCATGTATGGTAGTCTCCTTACATTAAATCACCCTTATCCAAATAATCCAATGAAGCTTTTGATTTCATGAATATTTAATCTCTCTTTCTTCGGTGTAAGCCCAAAATATAAGTAGTCCAGCCCATAATCCCATTCTCAATTTTCTTTCCTAATTATACTGGAACATTAGAAATTTATAAAAAACAATATTTTATAAATAAATATTTTTCCTTATGAATATTTTACTGGTCAAAATGTTCTCTAATATCACACAACTGTAGTATAGATAGTTGGTGGAACACTAGAATCTGTAGCATTTACCAAATAGAATTTGATAAAGAAGAACAGTGAAATTTGTAGGTCCCAAACTTATAACCTATGTCCCCTGATTCCCTGAAGCAAAATTGTCATTTTGTTTTCCAAAACCATATGAAATATGAAACCAACCATGAATGAAACAAAGTAGTACATCAAAACATATTAGAAGGAATTGGAAAAAAAAATTATGCCCATTTTGTGAGAAAAACAGCTTTTGTTTTAATCCTTGCTTATCCTATTGATTAGGAGGATAATTTCATTTCCAAAACAAGTGCAACTCTAATACAATTCAAATTTCTGTACAGGGAGCAACAGTCATGCTCATCTTCAGGCCATCCAGAATAAGTGGGTCAACCCAAAAAACCACATTGGTAAAATGAAATATGATTTGATTAAATGATGGGACCAAACCAGACAACAATCAGCCACAGTAATGGAGTTTAAGTATGTATTTGGTATAGCTTCTGTTTATTAAATATATATTTGTATTTAATTTGTCTTAAAAAAAAACTTGTTAAACCGTTTATTAATAGTTTGGCATCATTAAGCAGCACATCAGCGAAAATGAATCTTCCCCCAATGGTTGGTATACATGACATGACACGGTCTATCAAATAATTTGGTTTTTGCTGATTCGGGTCCATGATCAAATCCAAGGAAAATGAATCTAGAGTCTAAATTGTTAGTTGATTACTTTACTTTCTGAGGCCATGCAGGTGTGTTCTAAAGAAGCTCCTCCAAAGCCCAAAACATGGCAAGTCTTCATAGACAAGGCATTCATATTCCAGATTTTGTAAAAAAAAGAAAAAACCTGATTCGAGCTGAATCTGGTGCTTTGATTTTAGTTCCTAAACAAGGGTTGTCCTGTTTGGCTTTCAAAGGTTGCTTTCTCTTTTAACCCATTTTGGTAAAGCCAGTGGGGTCCAACCCCTTTCCATCTAAATCTATCAAACGATGAAAATCCATACACTAGATTAAATTTAAAAGATGGAGTAAAGGAAGGATGATTCTTGATTGCCATCTCTAAGTCTCATACATACCAATACCATAGTAGCAGTAGCACTACTTGATGAGAGTTGTGAGCCGTCCAATGGGTTGCCTTTCAGGTGATGAGTTGGCCATTGCAAACGCTGAGCTGAAGGCTGAAGCTCACACAGAAGCTGCATCTCTTTGCATGAATGAACTCAAATAGCCATTGGACAAAAGGATTAAAGCTTAGGGCTTTTACTGCATTTGCATTGATGCATAATTACAGCAAAGAGCGTTGGAGAATGCTCTTCTTTACTTCCCTTTCCTTTCTTTTATCAGAGGAGAGAAACCAACTTATGAAATGACAGAATGAGTTCGACAACAAGTACTTCCCTCCCAGAGAGGGAGAGAGAGAGATTGCTTTCAATTCAATGTACACTGCTGATCCAAAAACTGCAAAAGAGGAAAAGAAAGAAGAAAGTTGTATCTGAATTATCTGATAAAGCAAAACCATCCAAACACCGACGTTATCGCAACTTCTCTCTAGAGTCTAGTCTTCCATTAATAAAAGTAGACCTCGCGTGACCAGCTATATCTCACTTTCTCTCTCTTCTCTCTCTCGATTCACTGATGCGCTGGAAGAACCGGCAAATACAATCGAACCCATGTTCACACACTCACTTTTTTATCCGAAACCAAAAGAAGCTAAGAAAGGAAATCTGAAACGCCATTACCTACGCCGGTAGTGCAGCAGCAATTGCTGCAGAAACAGCTGATGTGGTTTTCACTCATCAGTCTCAAAGTTCAAAGCAATCCCCCATTTCACATGTCCCCAGAGAGAAAATCACAGAACACAGAGAGAAGAATTGATTTTTTACGTTGGACCGCGTTGAAAGAAAAGAGATGAACTTTCTTCTCACAAGCATGAAAAATTTGACTAAATTTTGCTAAAAATTACACTGTTTCTTTCTCCATCTTTCATCTCGCTTCTGTTCTTCAAATTCTAAAACTAAAAAAAGAGAATAATATTAAGATTAAAAAGAGTGATTAAAAGAAAGTACAGAAAATGAATTCTTAATTCACAAGCTAACCGGGAAAAAGAGAAGAAAAAGGAAAAGCAATCCAAACTCAGAGGTCAGAACGGTGGCGGTGCGGGTTGTCTGGCGGTAGGCGCCCAGATGACATCCGAAGGTAGGTGGCAGCTGTAGATGGACATACCACATGACTCCGCCGAAGGAGGGTGGCTTCCCTCTCCACCGCCGGGAGCAGGTGGAGAGTGGCCGGCGTTACCGGTAACCGAATTGGGTATTTCGTCTTCGATGGGCAAACGGTGATAAGACGGGTTGCTAAATGTCGCAGCAACAACAAAGACGGTACCTGCGGCGAGAAGAGGACCTACGACGGAGCCTCCGAGGATCTGACCCTGCGGCCCAGCAAGCGAAATCGCAAACCCATTCACAGAAGACGGAAGAGACGTGGCTGACGGAGGTAGGAAGGTAGCTGAGATGGAGAGTATGTCAAACCGGCCATGAAAGGTGACGGTAGCACCCGGGTTGGTGGAAGGTTGACGGAGGATAACGTTAGCCACGGTGCCGGACCCGGTAAGAACACAGACACCAATATTTCGTCGACGAACGAAGCGAGATATGGCATCCACGACATCGAGACCTCCGGGGACCTCGAGAACTTGGGGGCGCATTGCGCACTCGGCGTCACGAGTGATGATGACGGGTGGCTTGGGCTTGTTCTTGGAACCAGGCGGGCGGCCTCTGGGGCGCCTGACTACTTCAATAGTAGCACCATCTCCAGCGCCGTTGCCATCAGCTTTCTTCATCTTCTTGGCAATAGATCCATCAGCGCTACCGCAACCAGGTCCACCGCCTCCTCCACCGCTGCTTCGGCTCTCCTCTTCTTCGGAAGTCTGGCCTTCCCGACTCACAACGTGGTGCAGCTGCTGCAGCTTCTGCTGTTGGTGCTGTGGGTGGTGTAGCTTTGCGAACATATTGCTTCCACCGCTTCTACTCTTTCCTTCTTCATGTTCACCTTTCATCTCTTCAAATTATTATATATATATATATTAATTCTTTATAATAATACTACTAATATCTAGAATTAAAAACGAACAAAGGAGTGACAGAGAGAGCAGTCAAGACTCAAGATAGAATTTTGATTTGTTTATGGTTGACGATGTAAATAACCCAGGTACATAAGAGAGGATCTACTCATCTACGGAGAGAGATAAAAAAAGAGTGAGAGAGAGAGATGGGGGTAGTGGTTGAGCTTGGAAACCAAGTAAAGAGTAACGGCGCCGCTGGTTGGAGGTGGTGCGGGGTCCACATATAAGACAGAAGGATGGAGAAATTTCCACTCTCTCTCTCTCTCTCTGTCTAATTTTTTAACTTTAGCCTAGCCAAGCCAGAGGCCCAGAGCCACTCAACTCAGCCTTCGCTCACCGCCTTTAATTTCTTTCCATCGAGCTTAGAGCTTACACAGCGGGAAGCCGAACAATGGAGGGGACTCTCAGCTGATAAACTCTGTGTAAGCGTAGCCCAACTAAGCCCATTGACAATGACCCATTTCATAGTTCAGACTTCGATGTTTCCACCTTTTCTTCCTCCTGTCGATTAATTAGCAGAAAAAGATAAAAATCAAAGCTCGCAGCCCACATCCTTTGACGAAGGGAAAGCAGACTCATGGCATGGGTAGATGGGAGTTTGATTTTCAACCTGTGTCCCTGCTTTTTTTCACAGAGAGTGGATGAATAATAGATGTTGCTTACAAGAAAAGATGGCTATCTACCACCGTCTTCATTCTAAAATATAGGGTTTGCATAAGCATGAGACAACGTTTCACCATTGATGTCGTTGGTGGTTCATCACTCACACATCTCTTTCTTTCTCTATATTTTGTTGCTTGTTGATGCATGCTCTTATCGACAACTCAGAGAAGTTGTGAATGTCTCAGGCTTTCTCTCTCTCAGCTAGCTTTAATTATGTGTCTAATTCAATGTATTAATTCTGTCCAAAAATACAAGAGAATTGTCAATTAATTTATCCAAGCTGTCTTGATTGGACGGTTTTGATCAACAATAAGAATTTGACAGTGGGCCTGGGGAGAAGTAGTCAATCATGGTATCTTGCTTTGCGTGTACCTTAGAAAGAGCTGAGCTGATAATATCAAATTGACTCTCATCTCTCTCTCTCTCTCTACCCAATTGACGCCTCTCTGTGTTTCAAAACCTTCAACGGATATACATCAACACTACCCAATTAATGAACTCAAGTTCTCTCAAAAATCAATAACTTGGGTAGTTTGTCTCAATCCAAGGAATGAAGTAAGTTTTATTTTTGTTATGAATTCCACTTAAAAACAACATCGAACATATTCAATGCAATATTCAAATCAAGTAAGGAAATTTGAAGTTGCCATCTCCTCGAACTGTTGTGAGGCTAGAGTTGCATCTATAAACCAAATTCTAGCTAACTCAGACGACTCTTCGATTTCTTGTAAGGTTGAAACTTGAAGGGTGCAAGTTCTACTGAGACTTATATACTCTGAAAGCTATAAGGCGTAACTCGTAAGAGAAACTATTTACAGCCATAGAAGATGTGAACTCGTTTCCATGCACCATTCCGTTTGATTTGTCACATCAAACTTCGTGTGATGCATTCTGCGTAGCACTGTTCGTTTCCTTCCTTGAATGTTCATGAGTTTGTGTGGGTGCATTTTACTTTTCCGAAATTGATATTAATGTGCATCTCTTGTTCTATCCTCGATGCAGCTGCTAGAGTTGCAACTTGGACTTTGGTTGGCCTTTAAAGCCCAACCCAGTAGATGTTTTCGCCTGGGTCGGATTAAGTGGTAAACCCGTATATCGGTTGTTGGGTTGAGGTGGCTCCATTCAGATATTTGCACACATTGGCTTGCTGAATATAGGTGTATCATACCAGGGGGACTGTCGGATCGGATTCAATACCCCTCCTCCAGGCTTGGCCCTATAGAACCTGATCCGTTGACATTAATTCCTAGCTCCAATTTTAACCAAACCTTTTTCCAGACTTAGACTTAAGTGAAAGTAATAAATTAAAAAATGATTTAAACACCTATAATCAATTACGGGCCCTAATTTAAGCTCGAATTATATTAATCTATTTAATTTCAACCAAGGTTTTTAAAATCAACCCGGACAATGAATCAGTTAGGAATCTGATTTTTGGGTCGAATGGTCTAATCGTTTAAATCGAATGGATAGCCTGTTCTAACAAAAAAAATAAAACACGGTTTATATCAACATTTTTTTTTGCAAAAATCCGATTTTGAGTCTAAACCGACTATCCGGTCTGATCCCAACGACATATATATATATAGAGAGAGAGAGAGGGGACAAAATCAGCCTCATTGAGCCTCATTTGAGTCATACCGTCCACTTGGTTTCTCATGCAATAATCTTGCCACTTGGCCTGTCGAAAGTGTTAATATAACAAGCTGCACATTGCATCACGTACGGACCTAACCTTTGTAGTTCGTCGCAGTTGATTTGTTGCTTTGCTCTTGATCATGGTCATTAAGCATTCAAACCGGAATTTCTGACCTATCACCGGCCATGAAGAGCTAGCATGTCGGCCAATCTACCTTGCCGACAGTGTGTAAGTTGAGACGGTCGATACTCAAAACTGAAAAAAGAAAACCAGAACAAACAGTGATTTGTTCTAAAGGTGCCGACATAAGCAGTAAGCAGCTGCCCATATTGGGTTGTTCTCTGGGCTTATTAGGCCAAGCAGATGCCCAACTGCAGCTGACGCTGTTCTTGGTTTCAAACTCTTCTTTTTGTTCCTATATTTGTGAAGCCTATTTGACAAGAAAGACCCAACCTACCAGAAGCCAAACGGACCCTTTTCTTTCTCCAATAGTTTTATATCTCTCAACAGAAAATTACTATTTCAGAGAATTTCTATAGCTAAACATACCACATATATGCAGCCTCTACTCTACTGGAACTGGTTTAACACTTCATTCTTCTCAATCATGTTACTACGACATTTTGCTTTTTAGTGATATATAAGAGAGAAGGTTCTAAGTTATAAGAGTTAAGCATTGGAGAATGGAGAGGCGTGAATACGACAGTTGGAAACATTTCTTTCATCTGCATGCGGCAGTTAAGACGTCAGCTATATATTGAACAGGCCAAGTGGCAACACACGGCTCTTCACACGTGGCAAACTGAAAACCCCCTTTCCCAATTCCCACCTTTGTGAAAATTTCTTGGCCATCATTTCAATGGCTAATCTAAAAAACCAAATAGTTTAATTAGCAAAGACAAATATTAGAAACCACCTATTACTGGCTATTAGTGACCTGTCATCATCTCTCACACTCTTTTATTATATATTGTTTTGTAGTTGGTAGTTTACCTCCAACTTTCTGAAATGAAATACTAAATATCAGTGTTGATAAATTTCAGAAAAAAAAAAGTTTATAAGAGCTATGAGCAATAAGCGTTGAATCCTAAGGCTTCTTGTGTTTGTAACTGTGATTTGCTTCCTATTTGAAATATTTTCATTTTATATTTATTGATAGTACAAATTTTGCATCTCAAAAGTCGATACACAATTTGCACCACTTTGGAGGTCATTATATTTTACTTAAAAGCAAATAAGACAAGATCAAAATTAAAGCAAAATTTACACTCCTATTCATTTACATGAATGCAAATGGAAATCTGTAGTAGCAAGGACTAAGGACTCGTCGTCATCAATAATTTTACACAAGCTCGTGACGCCTGTATTGCAGAGTATGGAGTATGGAGGTGCAGATGAGAGTACGGTCTACGTCGACCCTAGAGGTACCCTAGAAAATGTCTTTTACTGCATATGGGATGAGATAATGGCTGCAGGAATGCAGAAGATTGGATTTATCCATGATGGGTCCACTTAATTAATTGATCTAGCATAACAAGTGTGATTAGATGATCATGACCAGTTATTCAACCTGCATTTGATTTTGGATGGGAAAAGGCCAACATTAAGATAAGGGCACCTACCTCGTTTACATAGTGGTGGTCTTTACTGTTTAGTTCCATCCCGTTTTCTCATGTTTATTTATATTTGTTTCTTTTAAATATTTTCTGTTTTTGTTATTTGATTGTAGTTTACTTTAAATGTATTTTACTCTTTATTTCAGATTAATACCCATAAAAGTGTGTAACATCAGCATTTGGAGTATTAGGGGAAACAAGAACTTAACATTTTCCCAAATGTCCTGTGCATAAAAATCAAAGCATTTCAGTTTTCTACCATTTATTTGATAAACCGTGAAATCAAACAATTGTTTCATTTTGCTTCATTTACAATAAACGCCAACGCCTATGTGGCGCTGATGTGGTGGCGTTTTTTCAATAGACGCCAATAGAATCAAACATCCCCATAGTCAATTCTACCATTTGGTTGGTTGTTTTTTTACAATATGACAAAAAATGGAATCATAAAAAAATACATCAATTTTCAAAAACTGGGCCACTTTGGGAAATACCTTTTTTAATATTTATTTTCTTTCTCTAAACGTTGCAAGACATGATCAATGATGGGGTTTCAACATGCATGGGACCATTTTCTCAGAAAATGGCAATGGAACCAAACACTACCAGAGAAAGTTCAGCTTTGATCAGTGCAATGCCCATTTGAACAACTTTTACAGCCTTGCATTAGGAATATTTTTGTACTTGTGTATTTTATTTCATGAGATATTCCTAATACAAGATTGTAAGAGGCTGTTAGAATGGTATGAACACGGGCTTACACTGACCGAAGCCAAACTCCACCAGAGAGTTTGATCTACAATCATAACAGAAAGTTTATAGAAGAAATTAAGAATTATGAGAGGATATTAGTATATAATCCATTACTACTATATTTATTAAGACTGTGTTTGGTGAATAAGTGGTTGTTAAAATAAGTACTTCTTTCACAAGTGCTTATTGTAAGTACTTATTTTAACAACCACTTAAGGTTGTTTGGTGATACACTTGCCAAATCACTTATTTTGTTTTTTAAGCACTAATTAGGGTGGGGTTGTTTGGTGAGCCACTTTTACCACAAGTGCTTATATTGACATAAATGACAATTTTAGCCCTTACTTCACTTATACATATAAACAATGCTTTTCACATGTTATACTACACATTTCAATGAAAAATCGCCACACTATGACACCTGAGAGCACACGTGGGCCCACAAGTGGAGTGTCATGTGGACCCAATCAATAATAATAATAACAAATAATAAACATTATTGATAAATAATAATAAAAATAGCATAAATAATAATAATAATAATAATTTAACAAAATATGGAATAGTATTTCCAAGAAGTACTTTTAAGGTGCATTCTTCACAAAATACTTCTAGAAAGTACTTTCATAGATCAGTTTTCACAAAATACTTTCAGAAAGCACTTTTAAGGCACAAATTTCATAAAATACTTCCAAAAAGTACTTTTAAGACGTACTTTTTACAAAATACTTCCAGAAAGCACTTTCAAGTAGCAATTTTCACAAAAATACTTATAGAAATTACTTTCAAGAAACATATTTCACAAAATACTTTTAGAAAGCACTTTTAAGGAGCACTTTTCACAAAATACTTATAGAAAACACTTTCAATGAGTAGTTTTCAAAAAAATAAAATATGATAAAATGAGTAATACATGTTGGTTTGATTTATTCAAAAAAAATCACCATAATATCAATGAGATTTGGAAATAAAATAAAGTAGGATAAAATGAGCAATACATGAAAATTTGGTTTATTCAAAAAATATATATAAAAAACATCACCAAAATAGCAATGGGAATTAAAAGTAAAATAAAATAGGATAAAATGAGCAATACATGAAAATTTGGTTTATTCAAAAGAATATAAAAAACATCACCAAAATATCAATGAGAATTGAAAATAAAATAAAATAGGACAAAATGAGCGATACATGAAAATTTGGTTTATTCAAAAAAATAATAAATAAAAAACATCACCAAAATAGCAATGAAAATTATTAATACAAGCATCACAATCACATACATCACCAAAAATCGGTTTATTCCCAATAAAAGCATCACCATTTATTTAACAAACAACAAAAAATGCAATGTGAATTTAACAAATATTAATACAATATAATCAATAAACACAAAACTCCATAAAATATTAATACAATATAATGAAACACAAAATTCCATCAACCATTATTCAGATTATGCATATTAATCAACATAAAATAATTAACACAACCAAAGAATCACAACAATATCATTTTTATCTCAAAAATTCAAAAAAAAAATCAGGTTTGAGCAAAATATTGCAAGATAACCAACATAAAATAACTAACAAACCACATACACTTCAATAGATCACAACATTGTCATTTTTATCTTTGGAAAATAATAAAAAAAGAAATTTGGTTTTGAGAAAAATAATCAACATATAATAATTAACACAACCACATACACATAAAAAAAATCACAACATTGCCGTTTTTATCTCTGAAAATAAAAAGTCGGTTTTAAGCAAAATATTGCACTAAAAATAATTATAAAACAAAGATGAAGGAGGAGGATGACTGACCTGAGTGTCGTCGGTGATTGTATAGTGAGAATGCGTGAAATCCCTCCAAAAAACCAAATATGGTAATGAACAATACGAAGAGGGTTTCAATTGTTTAAAACCAAAAATATTCATGAAAACATGTGCAACATCGGTCCAAATGTGAAACCAACCTGGTCGCCGGCAAGTTTCTAGCTCGTTTGGTGGTCGTCGGTCACTCCTAAAACAATTGCCACCGCTGGTATGCTCGACCCTACTTGAATGAGGAAGAAGAGGGTTTAAGGAGCTATAGGGGTATTCTGGTCATTTAAAAAATTAAACAAGGACCTAGTCGTCCCAAAATTTTTGAATGTCCACTTATTTAGCAAGTGCTTAAAATGAGTTACTTTTTTAATAAGTATTTCTTTATCAAATAAGTACTTTTCGATACTTTTTTACCAAATATCCACAAGTGCTTATTTTTCACTTAATGTGTAGTCCTGACACTTTTATTAAATACTTATAAAAAAAGTACTTATCGAAATCAAACAGGGCCTAAATCAGAGGAGGAAGAGTTATTAGTGTGTTTTAGCTTGTAAGGATTTTATGTCTATTATTCAGACAGAGAATCCCGCTGATTTGATAATAGGCTTGCAAGTGTAGTATTTTACCAAGAGGAGTCATTTTAAGGCTCCAGTAGGCCCATCTTCTCAATTGGGATTTATATGGGCTGAGGTTTCCCCTGAGGCTCTAAGCCCAACCCAAACACAGTCCATGAGAGCCCAAGACAAGATTCGATCCATTGAGCTTGCATACTGCTAAGCAGACCCATTGAAATTAGAATGGTTTGGAGTCTGGAGTTTCCTTTAGCCACCCAAATCCAATCTAAGCTTTTGATGAGTTGAGTTGTGAGGGCTGACTGGCTGAGCAGCTGGTGTCGGTCATCCATCGGTGAAGCATCAGCCATTGCTGAAGGCCGAAGAAGCTGGCAACACAGGCACGGCCCAGCCCCGAGGGAGCTGCACTTGAGGGTGCACCTCCAACCCCAATTCCCATTCAACATCCAGTCGTGATGCATTGACAACCTCAGCCATCTCGAAGGCGGGCCCTCAGTTGTGTCAGTTACCAATTCGATCGAAGAACCGCCCCACGCACTCTCAACCAAATGACCACCAGCCTAACGTCCTACCTGAAACTGAACCCTCGAATCCCTGCTTCACTCTTTGTAATTGCGGGAGGGAAGAAGGCAATGGTCAGCACCAGCAAAGCCCCAGATTCTTACACAGCTATCCGGGAGAGGTTCACCTTAGAACGGGAGATAAAAAAGAGCAAATTTATTGCCATCGCAGGCCCCATCTCCGACGAGCAATCCGCCCATTCTTTTCTCGCTGAGGTCTTTCCTCACACTTACTCGTTATTCTTCCTTTCTCTGCAATTTTTTTTAGGGTTTTATTACTTGGGTATTTGATCAAGAGTCTCAGTTTACTGCCTTAATTCAATAGGTCCGAGATCCCCGAGCGACTCACAATTGTTGGGCTTATAAGGTACATGCCGCACACCATGCGTTTGCTTTTTGATCCCACAGTAGTGGGTAAGACTTTTCATCCCCCCGCTCATAAACCCGCTTTAACATAAAAACGCATCTGTTTGTTTTATAGCTTGGAGATCAATATCGGTGTAATGATGACGGTGAACCATCGGGTACGGCTGGTAAACCGATATATTCTGCAATTGTTTCCTCAGGGATTGATAGGGTGATGGTAGTTGTCATCAGGTGAATTATATTTTTGAAAATTTTCTTTTGGCATGCTCTTCTGACACAGTGTGGTGATATGCCATTGATTTTGAGGCAGATTGACACTGTTTTACCGTAGCAATATGATAAAAAAATGTACCTGGAAAATAGAGAAATTTCTATCACTTCAATAAATTTTGAGGAGGAACAATCTCTAGAAAGCCAATACGCGTACATGCGCATGTACACAGACAGAAGTTACTAAAGAGAGAAATAGATGAATGCAAAACTTAAACTAAATTGACAGCTAATATAAATAAATTGCCTCCAAGTTAATGTTAATTTCCCCCTTTTCTTACTTCTATCTTTATTAACAATTAACTCTATTTAATTTGTCTTCATCCTAAACCCGTTCTGAATAAATAAACATCAAAATTGCATCTAAATTAAGGAGAAGAAGAAAATCAATTTCCAGATGACCTGAATGAATATTTTCCAAACCAACATATCTCTATTTAAATTCTTTTTATTCTAAAATCATTCTGATTAAATAAACACCAAAAGTGCAGCTAAGAAATAACTTTTTTTTTTTTGAGCAAAAGGATATTAATTAGTAGAAAATAAACCAAAACAAAGAGCACCACATCACAATGGCAATTGATCTTGGATGCATGTGGTTTTAACCAGACCTTCCTTGTATATTTATAGTGTCTGGTCAACTTAGCTATATTATGTGCTAGTTTGTTCTTTACACGTGATGCATAGATGAAATTACAACATTCTAAAACGAATGCTAACTGCCTGGTGTGCTCAATTAGTGCTTGCTCAAACCATTGATATTTACATATTATTGTCCCTGATTTTTTCTACTGCCAGAGCCCAGAGGACCTAAATGAATTATTTTCAAACCAACATATCTCTATGTAATTTGTCTTCATTTTAAAATCATCCTGAATATGTGACTCAAAACTTTAGCTAAATTAAAGAGAAGAAATAACAAATTCCAGATGCCCTAAACAAATCATTTCCCAGGCACCATACAACATACACTTCATATAGAAAATAAGAGAAACCTTTTATTCTAATATATGCATAATTTCTACTATTCCTATCACTTATTAAATTCAATATATAACCAACATAACACCTCCATGGATAATAGACTCAATTTTTGCATACACATGGAAGACAAAACTTGTGATGCAGAGTTTCAGGTTAGAGCCACTCACAAGTATCAAGGAAAAGACCATTTGGTGGCATAATTGCCAACTGACGTCTGGAAGTGAGGAGGGTTAACCAAGTTGATTAAGATTTGTGTAGAGGACTAGGATGTATTATTTCTGAGGATTTCTGGGGTTGGGCCACTTCCTGATTAGTGTAGCTGTTGCCATGCCTTTCTAAGAAATTAAAGATAAAGAAAATTGCCATTTATCCTTATATTCAGTGGATATTAGTTATCCTGAAAATTCCAATTTCTTTGTCTCATTTTCAGGCATTTTGGAGGTATCAAGTTAGGAACTGGAGGATTGGTCAGGGCTTATGGAGGTGTCACCGCAGAATGCTTAAAAAATGCTGCAACATGTCTAGTGAAACCTAAAGTAATGAACTGTATGCTTGAGCTATTAATTTCTAGATTTGTTTTCCTTATCTTTATTTCTTGTTGCAAAATTACTTATTTCATTTAACTGGTAGAAAAGCTTTTTTTCATCTTTACATTTAAAAGAAAGAACAGTACATACTTTTATAGAGGATGCCTTGTCAATTTGTGTATAAATTTGTTTTTGGATGTTTTATGAGCAAAATTACTTTTGCAGGTTTTAATTGGTCTAGAGGTGCCTTTTGAACTGTTGGGGGTTGTATACCATCAGGTGAGGGCTATTTCAATTTATAAAGGTTTCAACTTTCATGTTACTTTGGGTTTAATATGAAAATTCATTGTATCATAAAATGCAAATTATTGATGAAAAAACAACATGCAAATGCTTGGATATTATTTGCCTTTTGGTATTCAAAGATTGAGTGTACTTTGAAGGCACACGTAGCATTCATGGATGTTGTTTAGCTTATTAGCCAGAACTTACCTTGCTCTTATTAAGAATTTTTTTTCCTGGGAATTTAGCATTGTCATGTTGCTATCCCCTATTAAACAGAATAGAATGGTTAAATAGGATTCATGTAGCCAACTCCATATGGTTGGGATGAGGCTTAGATGATGTTGTTGTTATCCCCTACTTACCTTTAAACCCATGTTTGATATTGCCATGATGCTATCATAGAAAAAGGCCATGCTATGATAAATATAATGTACCTGGAAGACAAAAATCTAGTTATTCCTGCCATATTTTATTTTCAATAACTACTACTAGTATCATTTATTTCATTCTATTTCTCTGAAGATGCTATTACTTTATTCAATTTTAATTCCAAGATTCACCTTTCAATGGGTTTCTTTTAGATAATGTAAAACTAGTAATTTTGAGACAATTATTCATTTAACTTGCATAATAGAACTTATAGTCCCATCTTGGTTTGAAACCTAAAATCCAATTTTGGTTGGAAGTCTTTACATACCACATTATATTTCTTTATTCTGCTCTATTTAGACCATATATTCTGTTAAATGATTGACTTCAACATCTTTTCCAACTACTTGAACCATTCTCGTTTCCATTTTTCCTTTTCCTTTTAGATCCTTTAACTTGACCAATTTGCTCTCTAGAGCACTAGTTGGTCTCCGTTTCACATGGCCAAATCATGTTTAGCAAACTCTTTTTGTTCAATCACCTGAAGGTGCCATTTCTATGTTTCTTCAAGTTATGGTTGTAAGTATGAACATGGCAGTTGGAGCCACATGCATATATGGGAGTTTGATTTGGCAAACTAAAAAATTGGATTTGGAGACTTATACAAGTTACAATATCCTTTCTTGAACATCCACGTATATAGATTAGAATAAATAAATGTAGCAAAATTCCATTTCTTATGGCTAATATGTCAATATTTGAAATATAAAAAGATCATTGTTAGTATAGTTTTTTTTTTTTTTTTCTTTGTATGACAGAATGTGATGAAAAACTGCACATTGCATAGGAAGCATAATTGCAATAGATTAGGAATGACTTGGGATTTGATTAGAAATCTCTAATAGGTAAATTTTAATATGATACAATAATTAATAGTTCTATGAAAGGAAAACAGCTCATCTTCTATGGTACAACAATTAGTAGGGGTGAAATAGGGATTCTAATAAGGTAAATTACGAGATAAGATCTCCTAATAGAGACATCCACGAGAAAAAACCAGAAGACTAAAACACTAAATCTCCTTTTTACATTGTAAAGCATAAACTAATACTCTTATATCCATCCCCCTGTTGGCTAGTAAGAATTGGGAAAAACATCATTCTTTAATCAACAAAAACACACAAATAAATGGAGAAGTCATTGTTGCTGGGAAGCTTCACTGGAAGGAATATGAGTTGGGCTGATATTCTTCAATTCCTCTGTTCTTCTCATCTTTATTGGAAAATAATAAGTATGCAGCATCTGTTGTTGCCAGTCTCTCTCATGCCCCAGCCCCCACTTTATGTATTGCTAAGTTTTTATTGTTTCTTCTTATCCTTTCCCTGTTTTAGGTTGAACTTGTCAAGGCTACTAGGCACCCACCCTGGTGTCACCAAACCTGGTTAATTTTATGTTGTTTCCCTAGCTTTCTATGAGTTAGCTTATTCCTTGGTTGAAGTAGCAACTAGGAAACATTGACAATGGTCTAACATGAAGAATCAACCCTTAGAAGTAGAACAAAACCATGTATGGAAAGATAGGTGGAGCCCTATTTGTCGATGAAGAGAAAGATACAAAGAGTATATGTGCGTAATATAGATCAAAGATCAGAAAAAAAGAAAAAGAAATAAACAAAAGGGATGTTTAATGCGACAGAAGTACAGAGGCAAGAGAGTACATGAATATTAATTGTAAAATAAGAAAATGATGAGGTAGAGCCCTTTACTCTGATCCCTGTAAGAAAGACAGTTGATGTGAATCTGTCCTTCAAATCTGATATAAAATTGATAAAAAATAAGAAAAGTGAGAGAGAAAAGAAGGTTACAGTAGAATAGAAGAAGATGGAGAAGAAGAGAAAGGAGAAGAGAGTTCGATGGATTTCTCTCTCCCTTCACTAATCTTTTATTAATCTTAATAAATTATGCTAATTACAAGTCTGCCCTTTAAGTGGGCGGCCAGCAAAGCAAGAACTTAAAAGAAATTAAAAAGAGATTAACAGGCCCATTAAGAAAAGGCCCGTGAACTCATAAAACAGATAGAACACTACTTAAACATAAAACAAATATTAGGGCCCATTCGGCCCAGTCTCTCTACACTTGTGAAAGGGGAATGAAATAAAGATACAAAGTCCCTGCTATTTTATAGAGACAGATTATTCTTTGCTTTGTGTAGAGAAGTTGGTTAGAAGAGACATCTTCTGAAGAATATCATGATGAAGTCTGTCAATATAAAGTAAATTACCAAGGCAGTCTAAGATGCTAACTAACTATACAAAGGCTTATCACAGTGAACAACCCCCTCCCCCCTCAAAAAAAAAGAAAAGAAAAGAAAGAAAAATAATCATTTTATGGCTATCTGAATTTAAACTCCCTTTGTATAGTGCCACTTCAGCTTTTGATTAATTCAATTAATGGATTCTGATCTGAGTGATTTAGGTTGCTTGAAAAACTGAATGGGCCAACTTCGCATACCCAACTTTCAATCAGACTTTTGATGAATTTGAAAACAATTATTCCATGATCTTTTTTTCTTGCTGCATTGATGTACATCTCTCGTTTTATGCCTTCAAATACTACGAGTTCAAGGGAATTCATGGTTTCAATTTAGATTCATACATTTTACTTTTCAAATCTCTAGAAATTTTACCTAGCCAACTTTAACATCAATTTTCCACTTACTACTATTTTCAGAATCTGATTTTTTTTTTTTTTTACCTTTGCTACTTCTCTTTTAATCGTTTGTGCAAGTTATATCTACTTTAATGACTTAGCAATTTCTGACAATATTATCTTGGGATTTTATCGGATCCATTTAATGTGTATTCTGAAATATTGCACGGTTGCCAACAGCTACAGTCTTTTCAAGTTGAGGATATCAGTCAGGACTATGACACTGGTAAAGAAGGTATCACGGTTGTAACTTTCAGAGTTGATTATGACAAGCTCGAGAACTTGGAAAATGCAGTCAAATCCAATTGCAGTAGACAAATCGAATTTTTCAAACACTAAAGCATATTTAAATTTGTTCATCTTCAGTGGTTTATAGTCTTCCCTTTATTGGGTTGTGGAAGTGGTTAAACAGTTTTTAAAAAGAAGGAATCATGTTAGGGTTGGTTCTGTTCTCTTTTTCCCAGATCTCTCGTACTACCTAACCTAATGGGACTAATTTTGTTGTTGCCTTGTTGGTTTCTTTGCTTGCTGGGTTGTATGATGAGGCTTCAATCAATTACAAGTTGAGGATTGAACTTTGAAGCTTGGCCTCTGTTACAGCTAAATATTCACCCAAAACTTGGTACTTATGGTGAATATTGTACATACACTCGTTGATATGTATGTATTTAACCGATTATTTGCAAGTTTGTCCGATAATGATAAGTGTTCTGTAACAATTATGGATCATTCAGTTCGTGAGCCACTTCTTGGATGTATGCTACTCCATATAAAACACATATTAGGGAACCAATATGATATTCTAAACTCTTGATGCATTAGCACCCATTCTCTTCTAGAGTTTCTAGTTTTTATGTTTAAGCACTTGATGGTTTGATTTTGATATTCCATGTTCTTTGGCGATACAATTAGAATTTCTGAAACGTATCTTTTTGTTGATCTCATCTCGAATTTTACACCCACCAAGATTAGATTCAGCCTGTTTCACTTACAAAATCGAACCATCCAAACTTTCGAATAATCCAACGTGCACTTTTTAGTTATTAAACGAAGGGAAATCAATATTAATTAGAATTTTAGGTTAATCTGTTGAGTTGGGATTGAGCTGCTGATCTACGTTGAGTTGAGCAGTTGGCTAGTCTGTTCGTTCGTCCAATTAGATCAAGCCATTCAATCAGTAATTACCTGATTAACACCTGTACTACCACCCATCAGGTTGGTGCAACCGAATTTTTGTCGACCAAGCAATCCAACTACGATTACCTGTGACACTGGCTTTTGTTACCTGATCTCATGGATCGGATCGGATTTGAATCAAGGTATATTCGAATATGATCTGATACTATTATTTTGTAGATCTGATCCGATTCAAAGATCCAATCGGATCTGATAGATATGGATCTGAATTTGAATCAAATTGGGAAGTCGGATATTCAGATCTGATCTGATTTGTTTTATTTAAAAATCAATAAATTATTAAAAAATAAATAAAGTATATCAATTTAAATAAAAAAAAAACAAAAATACAAGTATCTTTTAATTAATTTCATCATACATATACATGTTTTTTATAAAAAAATAAATAATATAGCAATTTTATAAAAATACAATTTAAATAATATATTGGATCGGATCTTCTCAGATCAGATAGGGGGTGATTTGAATTCAACCAAATAAGATTGAATCATCATGATCCGATCCATTTGCATCCCTAATCAATGCCTCCAGTAATGGAGGCTTGAAAGTTACCAAATTGCCCTTACAACTTATTTTCACATCTATCAATATAATTCAAAAAGCTAGATTTTCCCTTCTAAACTTCCCTAGACATAATGATTTTATAGAGTAAAATTACTTTACTCTTTTCAATGGATTTTTCCAATTAAGAGTTAAAAGTTCTTTTCGAGGTATATTATTAAATTTTCTTCCGGATTGATAGATATAAGAGTAAAATGGATATTTTTGAAAAACTAAAACATTAGGCCAACCTTTTCCATCCGGGAAAATAATAAAAGGGAGGTAACTGCAGGTTTTTTATTATGTTTATCAGAAACCTCAGGGGAGGTTTAAAAAAGACTTATGAGTCCAAGAAACTGTCTAACGACTATTTATCGGGTTCGAATTGAATCGGATAATAAGTAGATCCAAAATTTAGTTCTTTTGTATTCGAATCGAATCTTAATTGCCTGATTTAGGGCTGCAATCTAGAAAAAGAATTAGGGCTGCAACTTGGACTGGATTAGCCCGAACCCAACCCTAACCTAACCCAAATTGGGTTAGATTGAGAATTAGGTTAGAGACTTGGGGTTACGGATGTCTTTTCCTAACGTGATTAGGGTTGATCCCTTGGGCAACCCAGCCCAACCTAAACCCAACTCTATTTGCCATTGGACACATGTACCAAAGTCTCACTACATACTATCATACTCCATTTGTCTCAATTCTCAAATCCCAACTCTAATGACAAGTTGTTATTAGTGATTTTCATTCCATGATTTTATTTTTTATTATTGCCAATTTCAGGATTTTAGATTTTCGATAGGAGATCTATCATAATTCATAATAAATTAATAATTTGAAATCCTCCCTTTTTCATATTTAATTTGTGCTAAAAGAACCAATAAATTTATCAAACAAGGAAATACTAATAAAAAATATGGCCATAAAAATTGAGTTTAGGTTTGTTTGTCAAAGTATACAACAATTTGAGAGATATTAGGAGATTTTAACCACCCCAAACCAACTGGGTTGGGTTGGGTTAGTATTAGGGTTGAAGGTTGGATTGGGTTAGGGTTAGGGGTTCAAAACCTTGGGTTGCTAAGATTGACCTGAACCGACCTAACCTAGCTCGGCTTGCATCTGTAATTCAAAGTTGGATAGCAATCAAATATTAAATAGCATCAATAAATTAAATCAAACATGATCAAAATGTTATATATTATTAATAAAATGAATTAAAAATACTTTGAACAGAAAAACTAAAAATGACATTGATATTATATATCACGAACAACATAAATTGAAAATAAATTTTATGAAACTTTAGCTAATGACTCTTTAGTGAAAACACAACATCAAAATTTCAAACCAACTTCACTGATATGTAATGTTATATATAACATAACATGTTGTATTTATATATGTATTTATTCATTTATTAATAACTATCCTGGATACAAAACCTTGGCCCAAGTCCAAAGGTTTATCCGAACCGCTCTCTAAGCACCAGACCTTATTAGTTTATAAGGCTGTGTTTGGTTGCAATGCAAATAAATTTGCCCTGATGCAAAATGATGGTAGTGCAAATGATTTGAGTATAAATCCTGACCTATTTTTGTTTCAAATTTTAACTTATTTTGTTTGATTGCAGTATAAATGAAGTAAATTAAGACATGAAGCAGAATAAAGTAAAATACAAAACAAAATTAAACAAATTTGCATTTTTTACATTTGCACTCCCGTGCATTTGTATTAATGCAAATAAATTTACTGCAACCAAACACAGCCCAAGTGACCCAAATAACGCCATAGCAAATTAGCATGTTTATCTAACTTCTGAAACCGTAGCTGTTGTGATGAATATACAGTATTAGTGTATTACATGAAAAAAAAAAGTTTCCATTCTGCTCTTGGATCTTGCTTAAGCTGCTCTTCTGCTTATTAACGCCCATTTGGGAAGGCTCTCATGCAGTGGATTCTGGCTTTGCGAGGTGGGCCCCAAACAGACAGCCTATATGTTTAGTGAAAAGCCAGAAAGCCCAAATACGTTGTCATTTAACCAAAAAATTGGCTTTCTAGTGAAGCTTCTTCAGTGTGGCTCAGTGAAAGCAGCTCAACCCTCCAACCTGGTTCCTTAGAGCAGAGCTAGAGAGGTCCAACTGCACTTCTTGGTTTTGTTCTCGTTGCCTCTGTTGCACTTCAAATCAGTTTCATTGTAACGCCAGCAAGATGCAAGTTAGATGCTGAAATTTGGGATGATCAATCCATGCTTATATGAGGAAGCCATGCTAAGGGTGTGCTTGGTTACAGTACAAATTTCATTTGCACTGGCATAAATGCATGGGAGTACAATAGGGCTGGGTGTAAATTCTGGTTTACTTTTGCTTCAGATTTGTTATTTGTTTGTGAGAAGTGAAATACAGAGGGTTCTGTCTAGAAGTAGGATGCAAGATGTAGTTCCCAGTTCATATAAGAAAGATCATGAAAATGAATTGATTGAGGTAGGAGGAAGGTGGTACAAATTTTGTATCAGTTTTTGGGATGTAAAATTTGCACTGCTAGTGAATGCATGAGAGAAAGTACAAATTTTGCATCAGGTAGGAATACAGATCATAACCCCTAGCGCATAAGGCATTTACATGGTCAAATCTCCAATCTAGACCCATTTGCTCTAAGTTGGATAGATTCCTGTTCTCTTTGGATTGGGAAGAACATTGGGGAACCTTCGATGCTAGAGCTCTCCCAAGGGTGACCTCGGATCACCGGTCCATAGTGTTATGCAAGGAGGAAAGAAGGTGTGGAGGTCCTACCCCCTTTAGATTTGAAAATATGTGGTTACTGCATCCAGAGTTTACTAACAAAGTGAGGGAATGGTGGCATGAGTGTAACCCGTCGGTGGAGTGGGAGGGGATAAAATTCCATAAGAAACTACAATTCTTGAAAGCAAGAATTAAGGAGTGGA